TTGTGAATAATAACCTACAAAACTAACATCGGGTTTAGGGTTTTGGGTTTATAGGGTTTAGGGTTTACGGTTTAGGGTTAGTAACCCAAGTACATGATTATTAGGACCTTTGGACCCTTAGGGTTGCAGCATTGTCACTAGAGTCACCAGGCCCGAGATCGCCAAACCCCGAATTTCCTAACCCTGAAGCCTAAACCCTAAACCCTAAACCCTAAACCCTAAATCCTAAACCCTAAACCCCGAATTTCCGAACCTGAAGCCGGGATCCTTGATACCTACGTCACGTGCCGTGGCTTCTTCCTCAACAGTCCAAGTAGATTTTTTAGGGTTTTAGGGTTTAGGGTTTTAGGGTTTTAGCGTGTTAGGGTTTAGGGTCAAGCGGCAGGGTTTGCGAAGCCAAACACCAGGCAGAGTAGAGTATTTAGACATTTCTGGAAGCTTGATACTGTTGATGGACAAAATTCTGCATGACCCAAGTATAGTATAGTACCATGAATCCCATAGTTTAGGTATATAGGGTCATGGATTTTGTTGTCCAAAAACCGTATGGAAGTACTTGTACTCCGACCTCGACTTCGGCCTGTGCTGTAGCTGGGGACATCAACTCAAAAGACATGCCCGCTGCCAGAACTTGCCGAAGATGTTCTGGCGCACTGAGGCCGGTCTCTTTGGTGGGCTTTGGGTATCTCCAGGGTTTGGAGTTTAGGGGTGTGGCTGGGATTTAGCTAACATAGGGGCCTAAAGAATTACCTATACTATTTTTTTGGGGGATCCTTGTTATAACTAAAGTATGCAAGACCCCCAAACCCTATTCTAATTATTGAGGCCCCCATATTAGAGAGGTTCATTGAAACCCCATTCTAATTATCAAGGCCCCCTATATTACAGAGGTTAATTGAGGGCTGGGCCCTCTGAAGCCATCATGCCTGACAGTTGGCATTTCGCTGCCGCCCGATCCTGACTTGCCCTTAGTTAGGAACCCAAAAAGGACATAATCATAAGCATTGTATAGGGATATCCCTACCTTACTGGGCTTCATTATACGGGGTTTATATGGGATATCCCTGTCCTAATTTTTGCTTATGTGGTTTTTTTGGGCCCTACTTAGTGTAGCAGCCGTGCCCGCTTGTGACCGGCACGTTAGTGCATCTCTTGGTTCCGCTGTCGGGGTGGATGTTTGCAGAGCCGCGGTCCTTGGACCCACAACTGCCCACACCGTACCCTAAGGGTCCAAAGGTCCTAATAATCATGTACTTGGGTTACGGATAGTAGTTTTGTAGGTTTTTATGCACAAGAGTATATGATTATTGGGTACTTGGACCCTTAGGGTTATCGCATGATAGAAACCCTCAAAGGACCCCTTGAAAGCTCAAGTCGAATTATGCACCCCTAAAGCGTAAACCATGCACCTTAAATCCGAAACCATGAAC